GCATCTGGATGTTTCACAGGTTCCAAGTTAAACACTGCACTAAGACATAAATCATTAGCCAGCTTGACTTATTTCTGGATACAAGGATAATATGGGTATGAGAAACTCAGTAGAAAGTCCCTGAAGAAGGGGGGGAGGTTCCATTTGTCAAGAACCTTTTGACAAATGGAAAGGTTCCATGGATGTTAAATGTTCTTCAGGGAGCCAATAAAGAACCAATATTTTTAAGAGGAACAAGATCAATATCCCAGTGATTTCGAATAATTGTCAAACATCTGTTCACAAGATAAAAGCAAGATAAAAACAAAGTTCCCAGGATTAATGAAAAGTGAAGGGAAGAGTGTTGGAAAACACATCTCTGCCGTGCCCATCAGACACCAACAGCACCACTGAAGGCTATGGACAGATATCAGGGAGGTTCTTTGGGCTGTAATCAAACATCTTCTCCTATTTAACCTCAGTCTGACCCTCCAGCGCCACCACCTCTTTACTCAGGCACCCGGAGAATTTGTGCAAAGCACATCACAATCAGCTAAGCCTGTCACAGTGTGTCAGACCACTCCATTTCAGTCGGTTCATTCACACACAGCTTAGACTGCTGTAGCCAGCAGTGAAGCATTTATCTCCTGTTAAAAATGAGAATCACTTAAGTGAGCTTAGTGTGGAAGGTGAGAGGGACAGAATATTACTGGATGTACTGTATGTATGTGGAACATATTTCATGTGAGTCAAAACGTAGCTGTCATTAAGTGTCCGATGCTGTGAGATCAGATGTTTTTCTCCAAGTCGGTCCTCTCCGGTGTGTATGTATATGGTTAGGAAGAAATCCGTTTTGGGATACTGGAAGTATGTGGGACAGATAAAACACTTCAGTAGCGGTGTTCTCATTTGGCTAGACACCGACGGGAGATTTTCCATTCTGGGATCTTACTGAAACCACTAGAGAAGGTGACAGAGAGAGATCACACTGTTATTTAGGCTGATGAAGAGACTACTGATGTGTTTTTATAATACTTCACATAGCTGATTAATTTAAATTGAAAGAGTAGTGCATATGACTTTATTGAGTTCATAAAGCTCAATTAACAGGGAATGCACAAAAATGTGAGTGACAAAAAA